AATGTGCCTTATCTCCAAGTGGGACATATAGCAACCTAGGCTTGGAAGCATATTTTAAAGGATCTGAGAAAACCTACAGGATAGAAACCTATTTAATTTTATTTTGCTTTGTGTTTCCCAGATCTACCTGACAAGGGTACTTTGTTATCTGTGTTCTGCAGTGGACAGAAAGTCACTTCAAATTGAGTTAGTCTGCAAGAGGATTTGGTGATTTATATAAGAATTCTTAGTGAAGCTACAGGCTGGCAGGGCTGAGGTTGGGGGCTGAGCAATCTCTCACTTCACCCATTTCTCTCCTGCTTTTGTTGGTTTCACTTTGGATATTGATCTCGTTCTTTGCTAGTGTGGACAGTGGGAGACAGGCCCTTTCAATATGGAGGCAACAATCTCAGGTGCAAAGGAGACTTCTCAATTTTACACACCTAAATATCAAATTTTCCAGAAGAACTGGGCTCTGTGGGTCAGGCATCCATCGTTTTATGCAGTCATTCTTGTCAGAGGAGGGGTTTAAAAGAGTGGCCCTGTCTATGCCTGTCATACACATCTGTGGGCTGGGTGGGATGTGCAGAATGACTATGGCCAGAGGGAGTTAGGGAAGCTGATTGGGAAGAGCAGAAAAATAACCTTCATTCATTCATTCAACAGCTGATTCATTAAATCATTCTTTTCAGGCACTTTGGAAGACAGTAGGGATAGAATACTGAACAAATTGGGTATTCCTGTCTCCAGGGAGCTTACATTCTAGTGAGGAGGCAAATAGTACAAAAGACCAGTACCACGTATGTTATATCTGATGGTAATAGGTAAAGGAGAAAAGATAAAGCAGAAGGGGGAGTCAGAAGTATCTGTGAGGAGAATGGAGCTGAAAGTTTAACAAGGATGGCCAGGGAAAGCTCCTCAGCTGAGAAAGCAATGTGGATAAAGAGTGGAAAAAGTGAGGGAGGGAGGGAGCCATGCAGATTTCCTCTGGAGGATGCAGATGTGAGGGACCAGAGTGAGCATGCTGAGGGTGACAGAGGGAGCATGGGCAGCTGGAATGGTGGCCAGAGGGACGACCCCTGGGTGGGCAGTCAGTGAGTCATAAACTGAGGTGCAGCTGAGTAGTGCTGGGATTTGCAAAGACCTGGCTCCACTTCTGAAGTGGCAGCCTATGGAGGGCTTCAAGGAGGGGAGGAACATGATCTGAGTCCTTATTTGCCTGCTCTGGCTGCTTTGGTGAATAGATTGAGACAGAGCCAGGTGGGAAAACTGTGTTGGGATTCAGAAAAAGGTCATAGGCCATACCAGGGTGGTGGCCATAATAATGATGAGAAACATTTGGATTCCGGACGCATTTGGAATAGAGATACAACTGAATTTGCTGATGCAGTGGATGTCAGGTACAGAAGAAAGAGAAAGTTGATGATAACAGCAAGGTTTTTGACCTGAACATTGGAAAATATAGTTGTCGTTCACCAGACAAGGAAGACTGCAGGCATCAGGAGGTCTCAGAAAGGTCTCACTTTTTACACATGTGAGGTTTGAAATGTGTATTCATAATCCAAGTGCAGATGTTGTAGGTGTGGAGTTTAGAGCAGAGGTACTGGCTGCAGATAGAAATTTGTGAGTCATCTATAACATAGGTGGCTTCTAAAGGCGTGAGACTTGATGAAGTCACCCACAGAGGATAGGAGTGATCCATCCAAAGTCAGAGTTCTGGGGCACTTCAGACAGTGAACCTTTTACTTCAGAATATGTATTATTTTCTTTCGGAACAATTGTACAAAATTTGAAATATGCTAAACTAAAACAACATGCCTTTACATTTCTCTTCAGAGCATATAGAAGTTAGTTTGTATTCTTCAGCCTTCAAAATATGCTCCTGATTTTCCAGTGTGGGTACAGGAATCTTAAGGTAGAGTAGTACAAGTAAGATACTTTGTGGGAGTGTATAACCCACAAGGATATACTGCATGTTCAGAATAAACTGCTTTGCCCCCATGAAACTTGGGGAAAAGCTTTAAAGCGTGATTGCAAGTGGAGCACTTCTGAAGTTCCCAAGTAAGTGGGTGGAGATGGCAGGATATCTTACGCTTGGTTCTAAAGGATGTTTGGAAAAGGTAGAAATGGAAGAAGGATACTTTTTGATAATGATAATGAGAATTAAGCACATAAACAGAAGAGGATTATAGTCCAATCACCTGCCTACCTAAAGCAAGGAGTCTGCTAAGGAAAAAAGACAGCAGAAGAGAGTAAAATCAGATGACTATTCAGTATTGTGCACTGTATTGGTAGAGGAGGCTCTCTGGAGAGTTTAGGAATGTTATTTTGCGTGTGTCTGGACTTCATGAACATCCCCTGCGCATTCTTCCTTTGGGTAACTTCACAATAGCTTTGGCAACTTGTGATTTTACATCCTTCCTATAGCTGCTCTTTTCATAGCTGAAAAATGAAAATGAATTTTTAAAACATCAGCATTTATCAAAGCATTAATGGTAAAAATTGAGGAAAATTCCATATTACTTAGAACTAGTCATGTTCTTAGCATTTAGGGATATGAATATATATAACATATAT